TCTCTCTCTCTCTCTCTCTCTCTCTCTCTCTCTCTCTCTCTCTCTATCTCTCTCTCTCTCTCTATCTCTCTCTAAAATGGAAACTAGAATTAACTTGGTGAAACTTGTGTTGATCAGGAATCGTTCAGGACACGGAGCAGCTGAGGAACGAGAGCATCGCCTGTTTAAGGGCGAAGGCTCAGCAGCATCAGCTGCAATTGAGCCTACAACCAACGGCTGCACCCACCAGCACCTCGTATCCAACAGGCCCACAATCGAGCACGCTTCACGCCCCCGTTTAATCATCGTTTCATCGACATTCCTTTCACACGAATCATCGAAACTAGGAGACGTTCGATTAACTTAGAGAGAACACAATCACGTTCGAAACTTTAACAGTTCACGTTCCCCGATAATTTCGCGAATCATCCACGCGAATCTCCGATATTCGACTCGGGGGATCACGAAATATATATATATATATACATCAATGTTCCCGGGAAAATCATGTTTCCCGCCCGATCTTTGCCAATAGAGAGAGAGAGAGAGAGAGAGAAAGAGAAATTCTTCGTGCATTTCCGACATATAAATATCATCGAGTTAACTTCGATTTCAACGAATCAGGGTAAACGTCTATCTAGAAGGTACCTATTGCTAAGAGAATATGTACAGACGGATATACACGGAATACCGTGCGTATACGTGTATTACACGACACAACGAATACGAGTCGTTACGATCAGGCTGAATCATCGAAGCCCGTGATCGATAACCGCGCCATGGCCTATTCCAATTCTCGCGTTTCGCGCGTTTCACCTTCGAAACAGGAAACGAAATAGGACGATAGCGGACGAAGTGGACGTCGATCACGAAGGGGGACTGAAGCAACGAGAATTACTTCGAGCCGGAATTACTTCCTCATTCAACGAAAACGGTGGCCTATGGACGGCCAAGTACAATGACGAATCATCGATCGCGGTGTGACAATGCTCGCCTCCACCTCGCCTCGACACCGGCTCGTTCTCGCGATTCGCTGCGTTCCTCGGAGGGGGAGAGGGGAGGCACGCCTCGAAAATCTCGCGCGCCTCGCGACCGCGATCAGATGTGACGAACGCGAGGATCGAGTGACGCGGGAAATCGTTGGGGGCGCGATATTCCACTGGCCGACCGCTGGAACGAGTCGCGCCGGTGAATCGACGGCGAGTGGTCTGGGCGAATCGACTAATTAGGAGTAATAGCCGCTTTAAATAGTGCGAGTATAAATATATACATATGTATGGCGACGCGTGTATGCTGCAACGTGGTTATGTCGAANGAGAGAAAGAGAGAGAGAGAGAGAGAGAGAGAGAGAGAGAGAGAGAGAGAAAGGGAGTGCCTGTGTATGAAAGAGCGCGCGAGTATGCTTGCGAGTTACCTTGAAACGAAGATTTCGCCTTTAAGAGATTACCGAACGATTTGCAACGAACAACAAGATAAATAAATTACCACGAGTGAGACGAGTTATACATATATGAATTAAAATAATATCAAGCAAGATACATCGAAGTTGAACCTCGAGCAGCATGTCTTCTTATCCGACGTTTGTTTTCGATGGGATATATATATATATGTATATCCTTCTTTCCATTCAGGGACAAGCGTGTTGGAAAGCGTGTCAGAAATTCCACAACCGCGGATTAATTGATTAATTAAAGTGTATACGGTGAGAGTTAGTTAATATAAGGCGAGAATGTGGTGAAGAGGTGGAATATTCACGGTGGAATATTCCGCGGGAGAGAGGGAGAGAGTGCAACGGAAAATGTTTATTAGCGAACACTTCCTATACTCAAGTACTTAAGACGTAACTGTTGTCAAATGTGCAATATATAAGGTATAAGTTCTAGATTGGTAAGGCATTATACTTTATTTACGGATACACAACTACGTGAGGTGTGGTTTGTCTGGGTAATGGCGCCTTGACGGACAGGCGGGGAAGGTCCACAGGCTGATTAGAATTGATCGTAGGATGCAATTTACGCGTCAACGTGGAAATTTCTATTCGTGAAACTTTGAAAACGTGATTGGGGATAAAGAGGATCGTAGCAAGATATTCGTTACGCTCGATTCGTATATCGAAAAAACGTATATCGTTCTTCGATATGCTAATCTTAGAGATTCGTTTAAAAAGAAAAAGAAAAAATGGAAATAAAATTCTTTGGAAATATTTCCTTTCGCCCTGCATCCTACGGTTAACGCAAAGCAACTAGTAACGAAGTAAACGTTGTTTCCACAAATATATTAAAATGTAATTTTTATTCTTCCACTATACGAGGCCGATTTTCACGCCCCGTTGACGCCGTTACCTTACCCCTGCCCACTGTATATAAATATATAAATACAAAGTATATATATATATATAAATATATATAAGGAAAAAAAATATAAATGCGAATATATGTGGTTACGAGACACCTTAAGTCGGACGAGTCTCTTTGCGTTTTTTCGTGTTCATCGTCGTACCGTGTTTTCAATGATATTTACTTCTTCTAGATCACGTCACACTTTTTCGTTTTTTTTTTTC